TTATGCACATGAAACAGTGAAACACAGTTGTTGGGCAGCACAAAAGTGCAATCTGATATTCCTGTGAGGGACTGTTGGTGCAGTGCACAACACAACACAGCTGTGCTTCCTTGAGTTGTTCACCAAGTGACCCAAAGAGTGACTTCAGCATAGGAGGGTTAATTAAAATGCTCATTTTTGCGCATTGTCAACTTCAGCCTCACTTATTAGCTTGGCAGCCGTATCACATTATGTGATATTCTGATGTTCTGCTCTTACTAAGTACAGAACGAGACTCTCCATATTACCTTCAGCAACAATTAAGTTAGGCACACAACAATGAGCAGGAAGGATGTTTTTGTTATTAAAGGTAAATCATAAACTGGCTCTAAATTCACAAACCCTCAGGGGGAGAACCTGGTACAAATTGGCACATTTACAGGCGAGGAAAAATGAAATGTGGGTTATATTATTCATGAATAAGATGTTTTTAAGGGTCTTACTCTGAGTTTCAGGGGTGCAACACTCTTGGCATTGCCAGCCCACAGCTCCCGGATGAGGTCACCGTACCGCTTAGCAACATGACCCTTCATGCCCAGGGGGTTGGTTCTAGAAAAGAAGAAATTTAGTCACAGTTGATATGACATACATTTCGGAATTTTGAGCTATTAGGTGTTAAAGAAATCCACATTTTGCCCTCAGTTTAAACCTGTGAATATTAGCAGTCCATAACTACAACGGACCTGGATAATGTGCCTCATCGGTCTGATTTGTAACTTGAAGCTATTGTCTGCCGATGTAAGGTCTAAGCATGGAATTTTTCTCAGTGCAAAGGCATCTTGCTTAGCAGAAGCAGGGTACCAGCACAAATTGCATGTGATGTGCATTGCTCGTCATCGGTTCCCCAATGATTCTTGCAATGCCTATATTGTTAAGTTGTGCTAAGTTGTTCCACGACTGCGGGCCTAAATTAGAAGCTGTCATTACTCACGAGTTCAGTTCATAGAGGAACGAGTCTGACTTGAAGTAAAGCGTCAGCGGCTGAGTATTGCTGATGCACTGGATGGCGGCGTTCATGAAGCAGGTGTTGCCAAGGTTACTCATGCCCGTCAAGCCACACTCGGTCCGAACAACTGTGCGGGGAATGGACAAAACACAAAACAACTGCAATGGAAGCTAACATTCCAAGCAAAAGCTTCCTGTGCAAAAGTTTCTGTGGTGTGGTCATTCCGAGAAAACACGTTCTTAGAATTCCAAGCTACACCTTGTGTAAAGAACATTTCCATAATACAGTACATCAACAGTACACACTACAGTACATCAATATCAATATGCCTAACCGAGGCTACTTTTCTACATCATCGTCGACTTCTCTCATAAACGGTCCTCCAGTTTGTCGGCCAAACTTATTCAAGACTCTTCTAAAATGTTATTCTTCTGTGAACTTGTTGGAGGAAGATCAAGCAACTACATTCATGGCTTACCAATCTGTACATGGCTAACAAACACAAGTGTATATCAATAGACTAAACAAGCGACCAGAAACAGATGGTTTAATGCCCATTCGACCAACAGAGTGACATGACTGGCCAAATTACATGTCTCGAGTTTAAGAAAATCTTCACCCATGAGTGTGGTGTTAAAGCAGTATCGGACATCTCAAGGGGTTCAACAAAAGAACCGAAGTTCTTGAGTCATCTTGTTCCTAGATGTCTTGATGACATCTTACCCTGTTTCTGCTTGTCCTGCTTGCTCTTGGCCAGCAGGGACATCTCCTCCGGCCAACTCAGGTCCTTGTTCCTGACCTCAATAAGCATGGGCTGGTCCTCTGAGATGCCTTGCTGCTCCATGGTGCTGGAGTCATCTTCGAGGAGGATGGGGTTGTTCTGCAAGTCATCAAAGCAACGAGGAAAATAAGTGAATGTAGTGTATTTCTTATATTATTCTATTTTACCTTGACATGTGTGATTGCAAACAACGCTGTATAACCTAATGAGGTAGCCAAGCCCAACCAAACAAGAAGCCCACACATACTAATTTGAATCATTAAGTGTACTCAATAAATGGATTTACGATGAAATGAGCACAAAAAGAAGCATCTTCATGATGTATATAAAGATAAGCATGGCGTGTGGCACAAAAGGTGTTAGTCAAATAGAACACCTCATGATTTTGACAACTAAGGGTGTACCGGTAGTTATTCTCAGCGTTCATGCAGAAATAGCACTTTGCAGCCTAACGTATGGGCCAAGCTGACATTAATATGCATGTGCATGAAGAGAGTGTGCACAATTAATTTCATCTGAATGAGCACAAAATGCTAAGAATTTTTGCACTGGCACCTGGCAGACCAAACTCCTGTGGTATTTAAATACAACTCATATCTCTCTTGTCGCTATGAAGGGCTGTACCAAGGCACCAGGTGTCCACCAGAACTTCAAACTCTGAGGGCATGTGAAATTCCAAAAATGCCCTGAGGACATTGTTTTTGTCTAAACCTACCTCATCTTTGAGGTTCCAAAGCCTCATCTCCTCACTGCGGATTCTCAGCCGGACCGAGAGGAACTCGTAGATCTGCTGCATGGTGTGCATCTTGCTGAAGCAGGAGGTGTAGGCCAGGTAGCGTTTCGGGGCTGGCGGGGTGGACGAGCTGTTGTTCTGGCCGAAGCTGATGCCCCCGGCCCCGATGGACACATTGCCTGGCAGAAGAGAAGGGAGGTACACATGAAAGTTCAGTCAAAGCCTTTTTATTCCAAAACTCAGCTTTGTCTGTGGCTTCACTTAATTTTTCATCCTGACAATTGGACTTTTTAGCTCAGTATCTTCCAAACAGATGAAAGCAGTTTCATTCAGTTTGAACAATACAGGCCTACAAGGATGTTTCACAGGGACAACTGTCAGCTTCGTTTCCACAGCCTGAAAAGATTGAAGCTGAGGCAGGTAATTGGCCAAAAAATTCAAATGGAAAATCCTGAAGTCAGAGTTTTTGCCTCACACCAGCATCTCTGAATTTCAAAGTTAGAAATGAAATTTGAGATTTGGAAACCCTTCCCCCTAAACTTAGTCCGACTTTGCCTTACTGTTAGCTTTTTTCATCTAGTTTGAACCCCACCGGCCTGCCAGAGACCGATTTGGAACCCTCCGTATCGTTAGTTTGACTTTGGCTTATTTCTAATCGATGCCAACAGTGATCGTCTGTTTACCAGTCTACTTGGATAAAAATGCCTTACCAACCAGCCATTGGAATCCTTGTGAGAATGAGAGTGGATTGTTCACCATGTTGGGGCCAACGAAGGGAGCTTACCGATATTGACTCCATTCCAGGCGTTCTGTCTCTGCTGTACCGTCTGGTGTCTGAGCAGACGCACGCTGATTGGGTACAGCTCTAGCGTTGCACTGGGCTCCCCTTCCAAAGGCACTATCACCTGAGACCAAGCACGAGAGAAGAAGCCCCTTTTGAAGCTGTGTCTGAATCTGGCTGTGGCTTTTGGTTTTTGCCATTCGTGCCCAATGCCTATAGCCACAGTCACTGCCATCAAAGCCTAATTCTTCCCAAGTCCAGAGGAAGAGGCCCATCACCTGTGGACGGACCTTCTGAATACCCAATACCCAGTGTATACCTAAAATCTCATCATCAGAAGACACTAAGGCGAGGGCAGAAAACAGCACTGAATGATTCGAGAGAGGCAGTCACGACTGCCTTTCCACTGGTTGGGGGCCAGCGTGTATATTTAAAACTCATCCCTTTAAATGTCATATTCCAATTTTACTTTGATTTAGACCGTTTCCCATCTCCTGTAAATAGGTTTTACTCAGGGAGAAATGCTGGATTTAGTACAGCACAAGGCAACATGGTGACATAAAATAAATCAACTGGGGAAACATCACCATGGCAACAAAACTCTCCACTCCTAGTTACCTGTTCAGCGATAACAAGTACTTTTTCTTTTACAAATGAGTCATTCTATAAATGTGGGGTCCAACGTGTGACACATTTCTGTCCCTGTTACACCTGACCTGTGTCATTTAACAAAAGATGTATTACTGAAATTAACTATTAAACTATTTTCATTTGTTGGGAAGGTAATTTGCATTACATAATCAGTCTTGGGAATTAAAGAATGCATTCTAAACGTACAACATCATACGCCTGATGTAACAGGGGAGGGGGAATTGGACACCAAATTTATAGAATTACAAAAAACTCTCAATCACTACTGCAAATTCCAAATAATTCTCTATCAACAGTTTAAAAAACAGTGTCATTCCCGTAATTATTCAAGACTTCAAGCTTAAAAAATTCAGACTTTCAGACCACAAATTGAGAACTGAAAAAGTCATTAGTTTTCCAATCTTTACCCTTGCCCCCCCCGCCAACAAACCACGCCTCTTTCAAAACTTAGGTTTATCCACACACCCTCCTATTCCCTTAACTTCCGAACAGATGTATTGAAGGGGGTACTTACATTCCTGGGCAGTGCTGGCCCGCCAGCATACCACTGAGAGAGAGCTTTCCACACAGGCTCCGGGATGACCTCATAATCTTTGCCCTGGACGAGGGGTGGAGTCCGCTTCAACCGCCCTCCCTCGTTAGTCAACGTTCCAACCTAGTACAAGTGACAAAAAATAAATGAAATCATAAAATGCATGTCGGAAATGCAGAATCTCTACTCTGCAATATGTAGGAATATTTTCAAGCAAAAGCATAACCAAACTTCATGGGTTATAATGCCCACTACTACAAGGGATTTGGACTAGCTAGCTGACGACTGCTTGCCCGGTGGTTGTGACATCTGCATAGATAAACAGGAGGTCATGGGTTCGGAAGTTTTTCTAATAAGCTTTCAGAAAGCATTGAGCGTACAATGTTGAAGAGTCACAGTAGTTAAAAAGTTAAACTGTACGTATGGTCATGCGTTGGCAACAGGAATAATGCACGCTTGTGTTCCTGGGCAAGACATGTCACTGCAATTACCTCTCTCCACCGAGGATTACAACTGAATGCTGGTGGGGATGGAGAACTCATTCACTGATCTGAAACTATTGCATGAAAATGAGACCTTGGTGTCAAGTTTTATACAGCATCAAGTTAGTATTACATGAGTCTACTATGAAAATGCAGACACCTTACCTTCCTGTTGTCAGGCATGATGAGGCAGGTGTTATCAATCAGCCCGGGCTTAGGGGGCCCCAGGCTCCCCTGGTTGCCAGAATTTGATCGTTTGGGGGACCGGGTAGGACTGTGTGGTGTCAAGCCGGTCCCGTTGCTGTGGTGGTGGTTGCCCCGCCTTGACAGGAGGGGACTCCTAGACCGAGACTCGCTCCAAGCCTGATTGGCTGGCCGGCTCAGGGAGCTGACCGAATTCTGGGAAGAGCTAGAACTGGTGTTGGAATGGTTGGATATGGGCGGCTAGTTGACAAAGAGTGAAAAGGCAAATGAAGCGAAAATCAGAAATTAGCCATTTAAATGAAACATCTTACTGACATGCCTTTTGATATAACCAAACAGTAGATGCTTTAAGAAGCTACATTCAGGCAACTGGCCCATTTTATTTACGATGTTAATTTTGATTCCTATACAAATGATATTCACACAACTGAGTTGTTACAATAGATAAGTCTTCAGACTAAGGCATGGAGTTGAACGAAAGATGTTGGAAATCTCAGTTTTCTGAAAACATGGACAATACTTCTCCCTGTATTTACTGCTGGGATGCCCAAGATTCTCACTTGTTTCAATTCGTTTTTTACCTTTTTTGAGGTTCATTTGAAACAAATCAATAATGCTTTAAGCTCTGAAACTGATACCACACACCATTCCCCCTCATCTATAAAAAAATGACTTCGGAATTCACAAAAGTGAAAAGTCTGACATCATATCCCAGACTTTTAACTTTCAAGCTCAATTCAACATGTGTTGTTTATTTTGTGAATACAATTTAACAGTCTCTTGTAATCCGTGAAAAATAGTTGAAATTTGTTCAAGGCTCAAAAATAGTTCACTGGTTCACATCCTCCCAAAAGCTGGTTCCCTGCTCACCTTATGGGCGACATAGTGGTTCCACATCCTCCACCAGTTCATGGAGATGAGGTACCAGGTCTGTGCCAGTCTCAGCCCCCGCCTCTTCTCTCGCTCCACCCACCCGAGGATGACTTCTTTCTCCTCTTCTGTTGACTGGGGTTTCAGGCCAAGAATGATGTGGCAGACCTGTGACAGGAAATTACAAGAAAGGTTTCCATCACCATAAAAAAGCCATTTTTCAAACCTTTTCACTGGGACAATTTCAACAGTTCTATGTTTAAGTTAGTATTTGAAAGCAGGGTTTCCAAATTTCCCTTTACAATTGAAAAACAGGGTGTTTCATTTGAAGTTCCAAGCTTTTGACACTGAAACAAGAAGAAAAGGGTATCAAAAATAGCATGTAAAGTGTCCAAAACATGTGAGATGACTAAAACCTTGTCTAGGCAATACTAGGGTTCGTGACCAGGGCCCAATTCATGGGGAGGTTAGGGCATGAGGAAAATTCCACAAGGCAATCCAGCAGCAGGGCTGTAATGGTTACAGCAAAGTGCGAAAAAACAGCAAAACATGAATGATGAAATCCCTAAACATCCTGAATTTGGGGGTGAAAAATCATGAAATATTGGAAATTACTGAGAAATCAAACCCTTGCTAATTTTAATTGGATGCTAAGTCCAAAATACTGCTTAGCTAATTTATGTGCTAAGCTAGAGTTAGCTGAGAACCGGTCACAAGAAAGTGCAGATGCTGGGCATTCTTGCCAGTAACCTGCTTTTGCCAAGCAAATTGGTTCTGTCCTTGGGAAGTTTTGGGACAATGCAACTGGCTGAGAAATTGGGCCCAGTTCTGATGACATTTGAGCAATTTGTGCACATTCTACTGTAATTTGGGGGGGGGACGGGAGAAGGGAGCGGCTTGTGAGAACCACCTGAAAGAGCTGCTTGCAGAAGTCATCAGGGAGGCTGTTCTTCAGGGCCCACATCAGGAACTCCTCTTGGGTTATACAGCCATCATTATCCCCATCGTGGTTGGCCAGAATGTCTGCTGCGATGTTTGCTGGGTTCAAGTTCTCCACCGACCGATAATCCTGTTGAGACAGTTACAAATTGTACTCAGCCAGAGAAACCACTAAACTTCTCAAATAGTCAGACACATGATTGTCAGAGGCTGACATTCCTGCCGAACACACGATTTGACAAATGACTCGATCCAAACGTCTTGGCTGTGGCTAGTCGTCACCTTAGTATCTAAAAGAAATGGATGTAGCTGATACAGTGGCTTTCACAAGCACTGTCATTGTGAAGCCATAGCCAGGACGTTTGGAAGCAACCAATGGCTACATGAACTGCCTGACATTTGAAATGAAAAAAAAAAACCAGCCTGGGTCCCAATAAATTACAATCACTTTGGAGTCAAGGCATCACAACAAATCTTTCAATGGACACAACAATTGCTTCAAACATGTAGATCGAGGGTAACTTCGCAACCTACATGTATGATTCTGTTCCACTGAGAAACCCTGAGAGGAAAAAATGAGATGCAACGCAGGCAGGTAGGAGCGCAGAATTCAGAAAGGTAGATTAATTTGACAGTTTGCTCCAAGACTTTTAAAATGCAAAATGAAGGTTTTTCAAATACTTGAGGGATTTCTCACCACTTCTTGGCCTATTCTGCTTTCCCGTCGCACATTGATCAGACTTTTAACCATCTTCTCCAGCTCATCCTTGTTCAACAAGTTGTCCTGGTCTGTGTCAAATATCTTGAAGAAAACTACGGGAGAGAAAACAGCGGACAGTAAGCCTACAAAAATGTACAAATAATTCATTTTAAACTTGAAATGTTTTGGGAATTTTTTCCCCACACCTTCTCACAGAGGGGTAGGTTGGGAAAGAAATCCACTCTTAACACCTTGAACGACCCATGTCCAATCATTTTAGAACATGACGTGAGTGTAAATACGTCAAACACACTGTATAATGACACCTACGTCTGTGTAGTTTTAATCCAATCTAGAACAGGATTTTGTTGTAATTATCATTCACAGTGCATGCTTCCAAATTACTTGCTGATTCAAACACAGACCACTATAATTGCCAGCCACACTAGAATAGATCTCTCTCCTCAGACGTCGTCTTTGTAAAAAAAAAACTGCAACAGCGCATATAATGCAAGCGGGTGCATGTGCGCGCAGTGTGCAAAATGTTCGAAACTTATCAAAATATGTTTGAAATACGGCCCGGCCAATGCGTGTCACACAAATTGAAGTAATAAATGCCGATGCACCGGGCAATCTGCAGGAAGTGACGTCATTTGAGAGAGACCTATACACATTCCTATAAATCAAACGGAATGTTACGTAGAGTGCTTTGCAGCCAAGCCACTGTAACTTGGCATGGGTCTTGACAACATGCTTTGGTTTTGGTCCATGGAACGTGCTGCTTAGTTTACTTCCAGTAATCGAGTCTGGCTGACACAGACAGCTTCATTCGGCAGAAGTGACTTGGAGGTCTGGGTGACAGTCATTTGCTGTCTTCCCCGGCTTACATTTTTGTCTCTCCACCCTGGGTCCTCGGCAGCATGCTGATAAGCCACACGCCATCTCCTTGAGATCAATGTGATTGTCGCTGTTCACATCAAATGCATTGAAAATGCCTAAAATACCAGATCCAACAAAGAGAAAAGAGTCAAGATGACGAAGTCTCTGAAATCAAACTCTACAGTTTCTACATCTATCGGTTTTCAGGGTAAATGCCAAAACTTGAACATCATCAGATGATAACTCTCTTTATCCTTATCGTCCCAAATTCTTTTCGGAGTAATTTTGCATTTCTTTTCAGACCACAGGATCCAAAAACCACCATTATATGACCATAATGTTTCAAGTGAACAGTTAATCCCCATTTTAACATTTACATGGATATTTGTACTTGTGAAAATTATAAATTTTTGTTCATGATAAATGGGAGTGTGAACTAAAACAACCTTTACAGACAAACTGCGAGAGTTTAATTGAAGTATTGTTCATGTCAAATGCTACCGTACTTGCTACGTTTATAACTCACCTTCGCATAGTTCCCTAGGCATGGGCGGTGAAATGAGCGGAATGAACGTGTCTAGATCAAAGCGGCCCGTCTTGGACTGCGCTTGCAATGCCCAGTATTTCTTCTCCAGTTCAATGATCTCTGCCTCTTCCACTGTGAAAAAGAGAGCACAGCCTGTTAACTTCAAAAAAGACCAGGACAGCATGAAGCATTGTAGTCAGGTCTGGGCCAAATTTCACAGTGCTGATTACTGCTAACCAACATTTTTTTGCTAACCACATCTGCTTAACAATAAGCGCATTTCATGGCAAGTATTTCACAGTTGCTGAGCATAGCAAAACAAATGCATGGTCATGTATAGAGATTTCCATTGTTACATCACCAAGTTAAGCAGCTTTTTCCCCTAAGGTTAGCATGCCTTTTGCTGGGGTTACTGCTTACGGTCTCCATGAAATATGCGGAGTCTCTGTTAGCGTAAAATCATGTGCTTAGTAGCGTCGTGCAATTGGGCCCTGTTCTTTTTCATGGACTCTAATCGAAAGGACAGTGACCCTGCAGATTATAAGCTGATCTGATTAGCTTATGGTCTAATCAGATGGTTCAACAAGGACACCAATGTGGCACACTCTGAGTACAAAATGATAATCACAAGCCTTAAATTCAGTGGTCAACACAGCCACAGTACTGGGTGGACAGAAACAAGCAATGACTATCGACACAAATGCCAATGTACGAGTATGGTATTTAGACATCTAGGTATGAAAAGACGCCAAAATGTTCTTACAGTGTGTCACTCCAGCAAGGGTCTGGTAGAATGTGGGCGTGTCGCTCTCGTCCGACAGCCGTAGCCCTGGCTTGTTGGAGTCCTGCAGTAACCATGCCGACAGCTTCATCACATGACTGTGCTTCAGGAGCCAGGAGCAGAACTGCTCATACGACGCCCGGTCATCCTTAACACCAAAAAGAAAGGTTTTCAAATAGATGCAGTGACTGAAAAAAGGCTGTCATCTACAACAGATTTACATGTATGTAATGAGTTTGACAGGGAAAAATACCCAAGTTTCTATGAAGATAACTGCTTTGTAACTTATTAACTCAATAATTCAGAGACTTTCAAGATTCATGTTCTTTGTTAATTCCGCTCTCAAGTTCCTCTTTTAATCTGTGTCTCAAGTGGACCTTACGTTTAAAGCAGTAACAGCCTTACCAATCCATGAACATATGGTAATATTTTTCCAAGTGCCTGTGCAACATGAGTTTTTCGCTCCCTGCATGTGAAGACCTGGCGCATTAGAATTCATGTTAATGCATTTCACAAATGTGTAAATCGCTCTTCGTGCAGGAAATGTCACGGGCCAGATTATTATGTGAATACTGAATGTTGGAATCAACTGTTGCAGACAAAATGCTGGTTCAGGCATGTACACGGTGCACAAGCAAAGCCAACAAATAAATTGGCCTGATATTTGTCCAAATTTGATCATGTTCAGCTTTTGCGAGTACGTAACGCAATGACTTGCCATGACAACACAGCCAGGCATTCTCATCCCCGACATCACTTCTCCTTGAAATTTGTCCCTGTTTCCTGTTGTGCATGTCTTATTGATTTTTCTTCCTTTTACAGAGGAACTTTACCTCTCTGAATAGCTAGGAGCTTCGCAGGGGATGGGAGATGGGGATTATTTGCCATGACAACACAGCAAGACATTCCCGTGTTCAACAAGGACTCTCCTTGAATTTGTTCCATTTTTGGTCTCATGTACATGTAAATGCAATTAAATTATCCTCCTTTTTTTTTTTTTTTACAGAATGAAGACGGTTTGAGACTCTCTGCATAGTCAGGCACACAGGGAAGGATGACTGCAACCTCAAGTAAAGAGAGTGATGCGGATGGATAGGTACATTCCTCCCAGATCGCCCCACCGCCATCACAGGTAGGGATGACAGTAGGACTGGGAAGGGAAGGGGCTTACCTCTCTGAACA